CCCAAAAGCAACAAATGGAATGATCTCTAAGATTGAAGGCAAGAATTCAAGTGGATAACAGTCCTTGAAAAAGAAAAAGGGACTTTGTTTTGAGATGACCAGTTCCAGCAAGACATTGCCACAGGGAAAGTATTCGAGAAGAAAGAAGATTACAGCGTGGGAAGAGAAACTGACTGTGTTACACCTACTGAGGGAAATTTAATTATTAATTTGCTTTAAATGAAGGAGAGAAAAACAATTGTAAAATGCCACTGTTCTCTGAAATTTGTGTTTAAGTCAACTAGCGATTCTCCTGGAATGCTCTTTATATAGTCAGATTTGATGGTTTGTTAACATAATCGATGATGATTATTGTCCACTCTCAATGTTAAGAAAAGCAATTTCTATATTGTTAAGCTAATACTTTTATAAGCAGTATATGACCTCCAACTCTTGGGGTTTTAGTGGGTTTTCTTTCCTTTCTCCTATAGTTTGTAGCTCCCCTCCCTAATTTCTTTGTCATTTTTAGAAAATGCAAATAAAAAAATCCCCTACGAGGGGCCATAAAAAAGAAAGAAAAGAACTGCTCTGAAATAACTTGTGACTGACCCAAGGTCACACCAGCAGCTGCATGTGGAGGCATGGGGAACCAAACCCGGTTCTCCCAGATTAGAATCCACGCTCTTAACCACTACACCAAACCCATTCTTTTGATCTACTTTTATATAACTTCACCAATCACTTCTATAACACTTCCAAGAGCTGTTAGCACCTCATGAGCAGTGCCTTGTTGAAACCCTTATAACACCACAATTATGATCCACATACTGGAGATGAAGGGCAGAGAAAGAGTGGCTGGCCCATGGTGATCCAGTGAGTTCACAGCGGATGTAAGAGCCAAACTTAGGACTTCCAGATTCATAGTTCAGCCTTTCCATAGTTCATCTACAGTTCGTCCTTTCCATAGAATTCATTACAGTGAAAGGAACTTGGGCTATTCAGGTGGAGAGAAAGGGATGGCTAGTTTACAGCTCTCCAGTATCAGAGAATGGCTTTACCTAGCATTGTTGCAGAGGCCAAAAAGAGATAAGGAAGTAAACAAGACTTCTTTGCAACGCACCTGGACCCAGCTGTGGACGAGACTCCCACCCACCTGAGCATCTCACTGCCCATCAGCAAAGGTCCGAGGGGGCAGAGGCAGAAACTGGATCCCACTGCAGCGACAACTCTCCTCCCAGCTACCAGAGGGAGAAGAGATGCGCCCAGGCCCTCTTCCCACCTTGCCTGGAGACTAACGTCACTGCTTCCTCCAGCACCTTTTAAAATAGTTTATTTATATCTGTATTTTGAATCGCTGCAAGCCACTATGGAAACCAGCTAGGGATGAAAAGCAGGGTTAAAAAAACCCCACCCCATATTAATTTTTTAAAAAAATTCAGCCTGAAGAATAAAGCTGTAGTATAATGTAATGTAATAATGTAATCCAACATTCGATGGATTATGGAGAAAGCAAGAGAGTACCAGAAAAATATCTACTTCTGCTTCATTGACTATGCTAAAGCTTTTGACTGTGTGGATCACAACAAACTATGGCAGGTCCTTAAAGAGATGGGAGTACCAGACCACCTCACATGTCTCTTGAGAAACCTGTATAAGGGCCAAGAAGCGACAGAACCGGATATGGAACAACTAATTGGTTCAGCATAGAAAAAGGAGTACGACAAGGATGTATATTGTCACCTTGCTTATTTAATATATATGCAGAGTACATCATGCGAAATGCTGGCCTGGATGAATCACAAGCGGGAATTAAGATTGCTGGGGAAAAGATCAACAACCTCAGATATGCAGACTATACCACTCTAATGGCAGAAAGTGAAGAGGACCTGAAGAGCCTCTTGCTCAGAGTAAAAGAGGAGAGCGCAAAAGTGGGCTTGAAGCTCAACATAAAAAAAACTAAGATCATGGCATCTGGCCCCATCACTCCTTGGCAAATAGAAGGGGAAGTCATGGAAGTAGTGACAGACTTCACGTTCCTGGGATCCCAGATCACCGCAGACTGTGACAGCAGCCATGAAATTAAAAGACACCTGCTCCTTGGGAGGAAAGCGATGGCGAACCTAAACAGCATGATAAAAAGTAGAACCATCACCCTGCCAACAAAAGTCCGCATCGTCAAAGCAATGGTATTCCCAGTAGTCATGTATGGCTGCGAGAGTTGGACTATAAGGAAGGCCGAGCGCCGAAGAATAGATTCTTTTGAACTATGGTGCTGGAGAAGACTCTTGAGAGTCCCTTGGACTGCAAGAAGATCAAATCAGTCAATCCTAAAAGAAATCAACCCTGACTGTTCCCTGGAAGGCCAGATAATGAGACTGAAGCTCAAATACTTTGGCCACCAAATGAGAAGGGAGCACTCACTGGAGAAGACCCTGATGCTGGGAAAGATTGAAGGTCAAAGGAGATGGAGACGGCAAAGGATGAGATGGTTAGACAGTGTCATCGATGCAACGAACATGAAATTGAGCCAACTTCAGAGGACGGCGGAAGACAGGAGGGCCTGGCAGGAGCTGGTCCATGGGGTCGCGAAGAGTCGGACTCGACTGTGCGACTGAACAACAACAAAATAATGTAATGGGGTGGCACTTTTACAAGGGAACAGAATTGTAGCCCATTCCACTGTTTATTTTATGTATTATCTTGCTCTTACGGCATTGCTTTCTACTTCTGTAATTCCATTTTCTGCACAATTTGTGAAATCGCATGTCTGATCCGGGGCGGGGAGGCACCGTACCTGTGATACAAGTCCTATGGCAGTGATTGTTGGATGTCTTACGCTATTGCCTTATATTGCATTACGCTATTGCCTTATATTGCATTGCCTTATATTGAGAGTCAGTATGATGTGGTGGTGAAGAGTATCAGACTAATGTCAGGGCGACCTGGGTTTGAATTCCCTCACGTGCCATCGAAGCTCACCAGGTGACCTTGGACCAGTCACACTGTCAGCCTAACCTGCCTCAAGGGTTGTCGTCAGGACAAAATGGAGGAGAGGCACACGACGTAAGCCGCTTTGGGTCCCCATCGAGGAACAAGGCGGGGTGCAAACGAATTAAAGGAAATGAAAATAAGCGGTGTGATCTGCCTTGGGTCTCAGCAAGATAGGCCAGCTTAAATGAAGCGAATCATTCCGGAACATTCAGAACGCTGCACATCATCCTCTGTTACTCTGGATGGTCCCAATAAAGGGCTTTTGTTTGGGAGCTTTTGCTTTGGACCATTTCATTCCAGTTATCAGTAATTTCTGTCTTTTTGAGGGAGGACTGGAGAATACAGCTGAGTTGACTGGAAGTGACCAGCAGGGGGAACTAGAGACTGAACTAACGAAACAAAAGATGGGGTATCTGAAGAAGTGAGCAGTGACTCAGGAAAACTCATCCCCTGCCACGTATTTTGTTGGTCTTTAAGGTGCGACTGGACCCCTTGCTCTTTTCTGCCGCTAGAGACAGACTAACACGGCTACCCGTCTTGATCTAAAACAAAAGATGGCTGAGATGAAGAGCCTGTACTGTCAAAAGCGCAGCAGGCTTGGCTGGTAAGAGTTAGAGCTAGAAGGTATCTTCCAGGGGCCACGAGACACTTAGTTTGTTCGCTGTTGCAACAGAACGATAATAGGGCTGCCCCTCTGGAATGGAATTATTGCACTCAAAATAATTTCTTTTCACTCTGACTTCTGCTCCAGCTACTCGGGGATCTTGGCCATACGGATTTTAACCAATACCATCAACCACCTCCCTCATCGAAGGGAGTTCTGTTAGCTCAGTTCTGAGTAGGATCAAACGACCACCTCACCTCTGCCTCTTTCTGCTGAAGGATCCTATCTTTGTCCACGACTTCTTCTTCGACAGGCCTGCCGCATACAAAAAAAGGGACACATTGTTAGATACAAAAAGCACACGCCTGAAGATTTAAACAGCATCTTCTAGACCCGGGGTAAGCAAAAGAGACTGAGAAATAAGACTGCCACATATAATTTCAAAATTCCAAAGAGATGCACTGATTAACTGAGATGCAGCCAGTGTGAAGTAGTGGTTAAGAGTGGTGGGCTCTATTCTGGAGAACCGGGTCTGATTCCCCACTTCTCTTCAGCATGAAGCCAGCTGGGTGACCTTGGGCCAGTCACTGTTCTCTCACACCTCTCTCAGCACCACCTACCTCACAAGTTGCCTGTTGAGGGGAGGGAAAGGGAAGGGGGTTGTAAGCCACTTTGAGGCTCCCTAGGGTAGAGAAAAGCAGGATATAAAAACCTTCTCTTCTTCTTGTTACTTTACCAAAATACAAATCTACAGGTGACTGGCATCTACTCTAAACGGGCAGTCCTCTTTTTTTCTCTCTCCCAAGGCAGGAGCATCTTTTTTGACACGAGCTTGCTTCACAACTAGAGTTTTCTTTGGAGGCCCTGCTAAATCTGTCTCAAGAGTTGAAAGAGATGGCAAGTGAGAACAGGACCCCCTCTGCTTTGTTTCGGAATGCCACACCACTGCAAATCTCCTGGTGACCAGCTTGATGATCATGAAGGGCCATACAGAGATCTGTTTGTCCGGGAAGTTCTGGGCAGTTGATTCTACAGTTTAGTTATCTGGAGTTTCTCCCTACTGGCCTTTGACACTGATCCCCACTGTTTCAGTCCAGGTCTACACTGCTACTTATATAACTTGCTATTTTATGTAACATTTTACGAAGCCAATGGATTTGGTAATGCTGCTGGCTTGTTTAAGTTTAAAGGTAAAGGTAAAGGTTCCCTTGCCCGAAAGCCAGTCGAATCCGACTCTAGGGTTGCGGTGCTCATCTCCGTTTCAAAGCCGAAGAGCCAGCGCTGTCCGAAGACGTTTCCTTGGTCATGCGGCCGGCATGACTAAACACCAAGGCGCACGGAACGCTGTTACCTTCCCACCGAAGTGGTACCTATTTATCTACTTGCAATTTCTTGCTTTCGAATTGCTAGGTTGGCAGGAGCTGGAACTAGAGATGGGAGCTCACTCCATCATGCGGCACCCGGGTCTCGAACTGCTGAACTACTGACCTTCCACAGCCTGCAGTTCAGCGTCTTAACCACTTGAGCCACCGCAGCTCACTGTTTAATTTTACTGCATTCTATTTTATAGCCCTTCTTTTTTTTTTTTTACTGCCTACTGGAAACTGCCTGGCAAATTTCTTACAAACCTAAGGACAATCAATGCCATGACAAGACCAAGCACTGTCTAAAAACAAGGAATGCTTTTCCTCTTCAGATTTAATGCTATACCCATATGCAAGTTTATGCTGATCTAAATCGATTAAAACTCTGCAACTGATCTCTGATCGACCATCAGCTCTGTTCAGAACATTCTCATGGAGAAAGGCGAGAGGTAAACAGGGGGAAAACCCTTCCCTTTCTTTCTGCAGTGCTTGATGCTGTTTTCTCGAGCTGAGGCAGCCTGGCCTAGCTGCTGCTGCCATTTTCTCATTCTTCCACTTACATAAAAGAATCTCCTGGATATCCACATGCTAATTCTGCCCTACATTGTAGCAGAGCCATTTCCGCCGCTTGCCCCTATCCCACACCCCACGGCACCACTGCCGTCATAAAACAAAGAAGCGGCCCAGACGCAGAGAGAGTCATTTCCTTAAGCAGAAGAATTTCAAAGCTGAAAGTGAGAGAAATGGGCCTGCCATCAGGAAGGGTGTGACATGAACAGAAGTCAAGAGCAAGTGGATGGCCAAGGGCACGGGGTTGACAGAACGGGAGAACAAACAAAAGTGAACGTACAAAGTGGCACTGAAACAGCAGTGTCAGGAGGGCACGTGACATTTCTCTCAGCCAAGATTACCAAGCCTGGTTATGCAAAATTCAGGACGCAAAAGCAGAAGACACACGCAGACGTTAGGAATGGCCGACTATTTTTCGAAAAGTTTGGGGGTCGAGGAGTCATGCAAGCGTGCACGCTTCTTGATTACTCATAACTAAACATTTTCTCCGACTGCATTGAAAAGCCACTGGACTGGGGGCTGTACGAATGTTCTGCCCTTGGTGTTTGATCGGCGTATGATCGGCAATGGCTCATTCTCATATGAGTCACTGCTTAATATCATCAAGCATTGAATTGTATGCATCAAACACTGAGTTGGATCCCATGGATCCGTTCCACTAATGGTGCACAAACAGCAACTAGGAACGCAGTCATCCATGGTTGTCTTCAAGCACCCTGTTAAAAATGACACCAAACCAAGAGGAATGACAGCTGGCGTCTCTCTTGGGGCCTTAAAAGATCTCTAGGACCAGCATTTCCAAACCCATCAACAGAACTACACTTGAAGCAGAGTAGTACCTTACTCCGCCATGTTTCTGGCATATCCATTTGGGAAGATACAATGTTTTTTGGGGGGGGAATAATGCTTTAGGGCTAAGAGGGGTGTTATCTTTTATCGATTATAAAATGGTGCAGATATCAGAAAAGGGACAGAACTATGCACTATTGTGAGGGATAAGGCGTATGCAGGGGTGGGGTGGGGTTAAAAATGCATTTTCAAATGTTGCAAACTGCTATGGGGACTTGATTATCCCAAAAAAGTGGGATATAAATGTAATAAATAAATACATTAAATACACGTGGCATGTGCGAAAGACTAGAATTGAGGGACATTTGCTTGGTTGGAAACAAACCTTGACCGTGTAAGAAAAAAGATTAAACCACAAAAAACAAATGAACAAATTAATTAACCAGGGAATGACGGAGACTCCACAAAGTCCTTGGCTGGTACACACATCATGCACCATCCTCGTGGGATCCACAGTTTCCTTCTTTTCATTAACATTAAGGAAGCAATTATAAAAGAGCGCATTCTCTTTCGCAACACATGGTTTCCCTGTGTGTTTCCAAGCTCGGATAAAGGAAGGAAGGGGCTCCAAGAATGAGACCAGCAGATATGCGAGCTAGAGAGCTACGGTATCTGCAGCTATGGCAAGAGAAAGAGCAGGGTCCCAAAGGGGAAAGTACCAAGTGTGGACTTACTTGCCGGTGCGCTTTAGCCTCTCAGACCGGAAGTTTTCATAGTGCAAGTCTTGGGTTACTTCTTGTAGATCCTGCATATGTGTTCTGAAAGAGATTAAAAGCAACGCAGCAGTTAGCATTCCCTGCCAGGAAACACTCAGTTGAGCACAGTGGGTTGAGTCCAACCAGTCTTTTGGCTGGTGAGAATAGAAGAAAGAGGTCCTCTTTGTCCACCAAAATGACAGTGCTGAAGATCATGGTGGGACCTGCATGGACAAAAGCCACTTTGGATAGGGGGCTGTATTCAGGAAAGTAATTAGGTGCGATTGGTTGAAAAGAGCTGGCTAGATCCAACCCACTGTCTTATCTGTATAAGCACATAAACATAGGAACAACAAATGCATATGCCCACTACCGAAGACACACTGGCATGTCATTTTAGCATGCTGGAAATTTCTAGCTTTGTATCTATCGAGCAAGTTGGAAATCTCTAGCTTTTTACCTCCTGTCTCATGAGACCCCGGCCAACCCTAAGATTCTACGTTTACTTCAAAGTAAGTCACACAGAGTTCAGTGGACATACATAGAGGATTATTCACAGCCATAATTCTCATATAAATGTTCAACAGTGAAGTGTGAATTTGTATGCCCTGTTTGCTATCTATAATTAATCTCTACATACATACTTTACAACATGCTTCCTCTGAATGCATTTCACAACCTGTTGTAATATATTTAGCAATGCTTCTTTTTAAAATAGCTTCAGATGATCAACCACAAAAAAAGGATTACGGTCAACTCTACATTGCACACTAAAAATACTCCACCATGAACATCATAAGAAGAGAAGAAGAGCCCTGCTGACCAGACCAATAGTCCATCTAGTCCAGCCTCCTGTCTCGCACAGTGGCCAACGAGTTCCTCTGGAGAGCCAACAACAGGGCACAGAGACCAAGACTGAGGACTTCCCTGATGTTGCCACACGGCTCTAGGATTAGGAAGATTAGTGCCTCTGGATTTGGAGGTTCCCCTCAATCACCGTGGCTAGTAGCCATTAATAAACTTCTGCTCCATGAATCTATCTAATCCCTTTTAAAGGTGTTTATTCCTGTGGCCATCACTACATCCTCTGGCAGTGAACTCCACCTTTTAACTCTCTGTCATCCAGACTATTACTGAACCCAGAACTGGGCACAGAACCCAACCACTCACAGGAGGGTTTGGACTTCAAAGCACATGCTTTGCACACAGAAAGTGCCTATGGTGACAACGCAGGGAAGCATTGGCATACCCTGGAAGAGAGTGGTTCTCTTGTTTTAGAGTGTAGTGACATGTGGGACTGGCGTGACATCACGCTCTATGAGGTGAGAGAGAAGGGAGAGAACACCCTGAGGCGACTGCCTTCTGGACTGAAGAATATCCAGTCCCCCACTCTGCCCTCTCCTACAGGTCCTTTAAACCTAAACCGCCAATGATCAGATAAAAAGGGGAGCACAAGCCTTGAATAAAGGATTGGTAGTGTGTAAGGTATGTGCTCCCTAAAAGTATCTTTTTGGGAAACCGGCTAGACCAAAGGCTGTACTTATTCGTGAGGTAAACAAAGACCACTTTTTAAAAAGATTTTTGACCTGACAGAATGAGATGAACAACAAAGATTTATTTAACAGAAAATAAAGCATTTAATAAGGAATGGGTACGAGTGGACAGCTTCAATATATAAAGAAAAACTGGCTCTCAGGTAACGTAAATAACCCCTGAGGAGAGATTTGATTCCCCTTTCTCTGGACAGGTTTACCTCAGCAGGTTCAAGGCTGCCCTTTTCTTTCACACAGCCTGCACACACCACTAAGGCATGATGGGCCCTTAACAGGATGCTTACTTGTCACACTAAAATAAGCTTTGTTCCATAAGCCGACTCCCAAACCCTAACTGGCGGCGATCTGGCCATGGGGTCGCGAAGAGTCTGACTCGACTGTGCGACTGAACAACAAACAAACCCTAACTTTAAAAAGCCCAAACAAAAGCCTGGCTAAGCTGATGCTCCTTTCCAGAGCCACAAAATCCCCACCCAAAATTTAAAAAGGTTTCTTCACCTTTCTTAACCTGAGGCTGGCTCACCCCCCTCCCATCCAGTGGGGTTCCATGGCCTCTGACTGGCTGACAGTCGCTTGGATTTGCATGAGGCCTAAATCACAAGGGATTGGTTCAGTGCCCTGGAGGAGAGGCTGGACTTTTAAGGATGATTGCCACACTGTGACTGGCCCAAAGTCACCCAGCAAGTTTCCATAGCAGAGTAGAATTTGAACCTGCGTCTCCCAGATCCTAGTGTGACTTTCTAGCCACTATACCTTATCAACATATTTGTGGTTGTCTCTACATCCTGCCTCTTCGAACACATGCTAAACATTCCCATTTTAAACCCTCTGAAGTACCATTGTACTCACACAAATAATCTCCTATTAGTGAACCGAACATCAGTGTGTGTGGGGGGGGGCAATCAATTTATGCAGTCCTGATGGCTGGAAACAAATATGCAAGGAGCCCTGGAGTACAGTCCAAATTTATGTTACAGCAAAATACAGGCCCTTCCTCTGACTGATTCAAGCAGCTATGAAGCCCAAGTGAATTTTGAGGAAGAACCAAAACTGCAAATTCAAAGTAATTTGGGAATTTCACCTTCTACACACTGCACAATCTAATTACAAACAGATTCCCCCCCTTGTTGGCAGCACCTTCAACCCAGAAACAAAACGCATAAAGCAATTTTTTTCAAGCATTATTTTTGTACATCAATCTTACTGAATGGTGTTTGTGGAAGATATATACAGGAAAGCACCTCCCAGCACAAAACAGTTCATTAGACGTGTCTTTAAGGCAGTGACTAAACCAGGGACTGCTACTTACACTAGCATGGTGCGCAACTTCAGGAAGTCATTGTGTTCTGGATTCTCAACCTCCACCACTCCCCAGGGATACAGGCGACCTCTGATCTTTTTTCCTTTCACTTCAATAAGCTGGTTGGAGCCAATGACAGCGAACGGAATGCTAGCCTGGATGAGTCAAAGAAAGCAGAAATTCCGTTTTATGGGATCACTTGTGAAGAATGCCAAAAGGGTGCGGGCAGTTGAACACTGAAAGCACTGCACAGGTTCTGGCACATCTAGGGGCATCAACAGCTTCCCGAACCTCAGCTGTCATTTTTAGTTTTAGAAGTGTTTGCTAACTGCTTAAATGCTAATGTCCTGAGATTGGGGACAATGGAATCAGTCCAAGTATAAAAAGGAGACTATTTCCTGCCTTTACCTATGAATTAATTTCCTTGACCCTCTGCCCTTAGTAATTGTCATTTCCTCTGTTTATTCCAGTGTTTCTATCCCATTTCAAAGCGGGGAAAAAGCTCCCTTGTGGCCAGAATCTCATTTTTCAAACAAAAAGTTACACAGTTTCAACAAAAACAGCCAAATAAGCCACAGTCTTCAGTTTGACAGCAGAGTGATCTGGAGGGAGATTTGGGGATTTAACTACCCAGTAACACCATACTGCACCAAACACTGCGGGCTGGATCCAAAGACTCCTTCCTCTAAGCAAAGAAACACCTGCAGCAGAGGAGAATCCTCGACTCCAGATCAATTTTACTGCTGTTTTGTTACAACGGTATCTTGCCCCTTCTCCACAAACTTAAAGATGGCATATGTGAGGGCTATGCCATAAAGTGAGGGCTATGCCATAAAGCTGCTTCTGACTTACGGCAACCCTATGACCTCCAAAAAGTCCCATCACTAACAGGCTTGCTCAAATCCTTCCTCTTCTGAATCAACCCCTCTTGTGCTGGCTCTTCCTCTTTTCCTCTTCAACATTTTTCTCCTGTGAGTCCTTCTCATGATGTGACCAAAGTACAGCAGTCCCGGTTTAGTCATTTCAGCTTCTATAGAGAGTTCAGGCTGGATTTGCTCTAGAACTCACTTGCACGCCTTTTTGGCAGGCCACGGTGTCTATAAGTCGATCCTCCAACATCACACTTCAAATGAATCGTTTTTCTTCCTGTCGGCTTTCCACATCGTCCAGCTTCCACATCCATACATAGTCACGGGGAATACCACACTACGAGTTATCTTGATCTTCAGAGGCGAGGTAGACGTAAGACAGCCCCTCTTTTTCCATATCAGGATTCTGAGGATACATTCTGTTAATGGTGGGGATTCTCCCTTGGCACAAAGAGCCTTTTTCAAGAATAGCCTCTGGCACTAGGGGGAAGGTGCCTCTGTTAGCAAGGGCCTGAAGGCGGGAAGCTGCCGAGGCCCAGGGCTTCTATCGGGGCCCACTGCTGTCACTCCCACATGCCTTTCCGTCTTCCCTGCTGCCCACCGGCTTGCTCACAAGCCTTCCTGCCACTCAACTCTTCTGGTGGCACACACTGCCCAGTGCTGCCAGGGGAACAGCATGCAAGCAGTGAGAAGGCTGGTAGGCAAGCAAGTAGGCATCAAAGGGGAGGGGGGCCCAAGCACTCTCTGCCTGGGCCCACACTCCTGGAAGTGGTCCCGCCATTAGTAGAATGGATCTGTCAGATCCAACCAATTGGCAGCTATCTCCAGCTTGTCATTAGGGACGCTTGCTGCCATGCGCTTATGAATTCTTGGAAATGAGTGGAAGTCCCACAAGTCTTATGAAGACTAATAGCTTGATAAAGATATTGATTTGAGACAGGCCTGTTGTGTAGTACTAACTTCGATGTCTTCATGCTTATCTTTGGCTGCTAAAGTGAATGGTTCTTCTATCCTTACAGCATAAAGAAGATGGCTCGGTCCCTTTAAAGTTGTATCTCAGCAGGGTTTATGTCCTGCTTGTAACTGTATGTCTTTCAATGTAATTGCACACTTTGTACTTAATTTGCACTTTGCATGATAGTTTATCTTATAATACCATAAATATTTTTTTGCAAAAAACCACCAGATTTTGTTTACATTTTTCAAGGTTGCTTTTGTACGTTTGGTCGTTCTTAGGTCCAATCAGCTGGCAAGGTTGCCTCTCCCACTACGCACCACGACAGCTGCGCTCATCTGAGCAAGGTCTTCCGCAGGCGCCAACCTGCAAATGGGCAAAATCAGCAACTGCCCATACGTGTGCCTTCTCCACTGCGGCCTCCACTTTGTGGAACAGCCTGCCTGAGGAAGTCAGGAAGGCTCCCGTTCTCGGGACTTTTCACAAACTGTGCAAAACTGACTTATTCGAGAAAGCTTTTCTACGCAAGCAATAGAATCGCACTGTACTAAGCAATTCACAAAGTTATTCAGACAGATTATTAGGGACTGTGGTCTATACTGCTGCGTGTGGCTTGCTGAACCTAGGATCCTACTATGTAATTTTTTCCATTATTTGATGTGTCATGTTAAGACTAATGCTTGGCTTCAGTTCTGCTTTTAGATTTCTGAATGATTCTACGACCCTCATTATAGTGTATCCAGTGTTCCCTCTAAACTGAGTTAGTGTGAGCTAGCTCACAGTGTTTTAGCCTCCAGCTCACACGTTTTTGTCTTAGCTCAGGAAGGATGGCTCCAGAGCAAACTGATTTATGTGGCAGCCAAATCGCTCGCTCACAACATTAATGCCGGTAGCTCACAAAGTAGAATTTTTGCTCACAGGACTCCACAGCTTAGAGGGAGCATTGATTGTACCATATTGATTGAATACCCCGTCCTTTCGATCATATTGACTCACTGTGAAATCCGCCTTGAGTCCAACTGATAAAGCAGGACTATAAACGATGTTAATAAAAAATTAAAAAGTGATAAAACAAAACCAATAGTCATCATCAACTAGTAGAATGCTAGGTTCCAAACCAAAAAAAAGATAAATTTGTCTATATCGCTATCCGGCCTCAAAACACCATTCAAGATGGCTCACAAGGATGCCACAACCTACTGAGGAACCAGTCCCCACAGTTATTGACGTTAAAATTTCAGCAAAGGTCTGAACTGCAGCAACTAAACCATAGCAGAAAAAAATACAGGAATATGGAACCAACTATTACTCACCCCCTCCCCAAAGGCCTGAGAAAATAAAAGCATTGTCACCCAGTACTTAAGAGCCAAAAGAGGCCGGGGGGGGGGGGGGCGCAGAGAGGGAATTCCACTAGCAAGATACTTGATTATGCAGCCAGTTCTAGACTCAACTCGCTCATTATCGTTTCAGAGGAAGGAAAGTTGTGACATTAGACTCCCACCCATGTGATGAATGTGTTTCGAATAAAACCCAAACGAAGCCTGCAGTCAACAGTAAAAAACTAACAGATTTACTGTGAACTTTGTCTAAAGTTTGCCATTACAGACTGATGGCGGCTGGCTTAACTAGCCTCAAATTCACCTTCAGCACCCGGGTCTGTTCCTTAAATTCTTCATCCTCATCAGAATCTGCGTCAGGTAACTGGTAAATCCTGATGCCGTGCTCAGATATCTCATCTAAGACCTGCAGGAAAAGGAAAGTGAACAAGATAAATACAGGGTTGGGGGAGGTTACACTACAAAAGATGCATATAAATATATGAAACAGCCTTCTATTACATCAGAATGTTGGCCCATCTAGCTCAATGCTGCCTACCTTGATGAGCATCTCTACAGGGCCTCAGGCAGAGAGAGGTCTTTCCCAGCACCTTCTACCAGGCATTCCTTTATCTAGATTAAACCTGGGACCTTCTGCATGCCAATCACCTGCTCTCCCTAAGGAACTCTGTCCACTTCCTGTGGAAGGCATACCTCACGCTTTCCAGTAAAAGCACATGGCATCTTTGGGAATACACCAGAGGACAAGTAGAACTCTCCCAATGGCAGCAACCTGCGCATGGGTATGGGATGGTAGGTATTGCACCACATAGGTATTGCACCTTTGGCCTGATACGTGGAACAAGAAGGCCCACTCTCTCTGGGCAAAGATCATGGCGATAAAAATTGCAACAGAAACAATGGCGGGAAAGCCAGCAAGGGTGCTGGAATAATATATCACAGCTGTTCGAGCGCGGGCTTTCCTGAGAGGAAAAAAGAATCACAAGGAAAACAAACTGCATATAATACTCCCAACAATGAAGCCGTGTTTTTTTCCCTATTCAGGCTTCGGTTTTATTGGCCCCAGGAGTTTGTGTGTTCCTAAAAGATTAGCCTTCCCCAGGGAAATTTGCAAGTAGTCAAGATCTCAATTCTCCTCTCATGCGATCATTCTTTTGAGCAGACCTCCACCCATGGCTCCGCATGGGCACGGCTTGCAAAATGGCCTTTCAGTTCTTCCCGCTCAGGAGGTTTGCTGGGTATTTCTTTTTCATCCACCGAGTCAAAACAGGAATTACTCCAAGCTGGGTTTCCTTAACAGAAACCCCGCAACTAAGCTTTTTGCTTATTCAAAAACCCTCCAAAACAAAAAAAAGCGCCCTTCCTTACTTTAGATTGGTTGCCAAATGGCAGAAACATCTAAAAAATAACAAGACTTCAAAGCTTGTGCCAGAAGAGCCCGATTGGGATCCTTGGCCTTGATTAGAGACTTTGTATTAGAGATGTTTTGAGTTAGAAAAATATACAGTAGCTAAAAAGCTTTCAAAGCTCTGGACCGACATTAAACGCTCCGTCCTGTTAAGCCGTCCGTACCAACCGCTGACCCAAGTGGATTAAAAAAAAAAGTCACGGCCAAGATGTTTATTTGTACTTTAGCTGCTCCTTATTAGGCAACAGTTTTGTTACTGGTTGTGTGCATTTGAACGGAGATGAGCAGTGACAACTAGCAAATTTACAAGGTAGCACTGGCAGACTTGTGTAACAGAAGAGCTGTATTAGAGTCCAGTAGTAGCACCTTAGAGGACAGTAAGATTTTCGTGGTATACGTTTTTATTTATTGATTTATTTATTTTATTGGAATTGTATCCCGCCTTCCCTGCAAGCCGGGTCAGGGCAGGTTCCATCCATATTAATGTTGTTGTTCGGTCGCACAGTCGAGTCCGACTCTTCGCGACCCCATGGACCAGATCCCGCCAGGCCCTCCTGTCTTCCGCTGTCCTCTGAAGTTTGCTCAATTTCATGTTCGTTGCATCGATGACACTGTATTCATATTAATACAATCCAACAATTAAAACCCGATCTGATCAAATCTCTCAGCAATTAAGATGGAGGAAGAGGAGGAGATTGGATTTATACCCTGCCCTTCACTCGGAGTCTCAGAGTGGCTTACAAACTCCTTTCCCTTCCCCTCCCCACAACAGACACCCTGTGAGGTAGGTGGGCCTGAGAGAACTCTGACAGAAACTGCTCTTTTTCAAGGACAGCTGTGCCAGAACTATTGCTTGCCCAAGGTCATCCAGCAGATGCAACAGTAGTGTGGGTTTCCAGGTGGCTGTTCAAATCCAGGACACTGATGGGAGGCTAACCAGAAGCGGGGACATCCACTGCCTCAACTAAAAGCTCGGTGGAAGAGCTCTGTCTTGCAGGCACTGCGGAATGGTAATACGTCCTGCAGGGCCCTGATCTCATACAGAAGCTCATTCCACCAGGTAGGGGCCAGGGCCAAAAAAGGCCCAGGCCCTAGTCAAGGCAAGCTGGACGTCTCTGGGGCCGGGGACTACCAAAAGGTGTTGATTTGTAGATCTCAGTGCTCTACGGGGCTCATATGGGGAGAGTAGGGCTGCCAAGTGGGGGCGGGGGGGGGGGGGCGACGCACCCAGCACG